GCTCTCAGGGTTCTGCTGAGAGTGGCTGAGGCCTCTGGGATCTACCCTTAGAGGTTTCTCTCTCCCAGCAGGAGGTAAATCCCGAGTGCCCAGGACCAGCTTTGACTCTCTACCCCGAATCAGCCCTGGAAAACCTCCAGACAGCACTGGATGATGGAGACTGTGCAGGACTCTGGTTTGAGGCCCTTCTTTTCCTCTTGTTTTGGGCCACTGTGTGTCAAAGGGTGGCGGGAGGTGGCAGTGAAGGAAATGTACTGTTGGTGTTAAACCCAGAAGTGACCGGCATTGCTCGATCCCAGACACAACCTAAATGTAAAGAGCCCAGGCGGACGTGTAACAAGGGCCCGAACCAGAGGGCCTCAGGACCACCTCAGTAAGTCCCATTACAAACACCACCTCCCTGGAAAGTCTGTCCTGTCCCCAGGAAATCTCCCTCCTAGAGACTTCTCTGGCGCCTGGCTCCGGTGTGTAGCAGTACAGCCCAAAACTCCCTGCTGTCTGTGTGGACACATTTGTGTCCGCTCCTTAGCCCGTGAACGTAGTCAGTGTTTAATAAGGGATAATTTGAATGAGTTGGAAGGTGTTATAATTCCAGGCAGCCTTTCCAGGGAGAGAAAGGTGCCAAAGTGAGCTCCCCAACTCAAGGTTGCATGTTTTTCTCATCAGGCCCTTTCCTGGTCCTCATTTTCACATAAGTGCAAGTTAGCATTTCATTCTCCATGTTTCTGCAGTGAGCTTTCTCCTCCTCCTCCTCCTCCTCCTCAGTGAAAGAAACATACACATAACTCATTCCATTTTCAGCTACCTGTGTGCGTTTGGGGGAGGAGGTTGTGCCCTCAAAGACAACCCTCAAAGCCCCCAGCAGAAGTTTCTCCTCCAGCTGGGACAGCCCTGTGAGCAGTCCTGGAAGATGTCCAGTGTCCCCAGCAGCTTACACTCTGCTGCCACCACTTGGTTTGCTCTCCTTCCTTAGGTGCCTTTTACTTTCTGTTTCTCTGGGAAACATGTACCCTTTTAGCCTCTGAAAATGTATTGGGCTCTTACAAGATATGATTGAAAAATATGATGACTGTTTAAATTTTTTAAAAATATACACAAATTACAGTAAAAGATACATTGCTGTTAATCTCCCTCCTACTTCTCTCTTTTAATCCACTTATCCCATCATTCTGACCACTTCTGAAGCAGTTCAGGAAGTGCTCTTTCCTGAGTGTCTTTAGTTGCATTGTCACCTGCCTTGAAGTCCTGAACAGTTCAAAACGTTTACCTTGCGTGGTCATTCTGACTTTGGGGAAGAGCCAGAAGTCATACGGTGCCAGTTCCAGTGAATAAGGAAGAGGACACATTGAAGACGACTCCCAGAAGTGCTGCAGGAAGTGGTAAGAATTATGGGATACGCGTGTTCAAAGGGAAAGCAAGTATTTAAGGGCAGTTAACGGCAATGTGTGTTTTACTGTAACACATTTAAAATTTAAACATTCACCTTCTATTTTGATCATACCTTGTATATCCACTAGATATTGGGAACAAAAAGCAGTCTCACCTTGCCTCTATGGGCTTCTTAAAGAACAACTGCAGAAGAAAATCAATAACCAACTAACTTAAACCTGGTGCTAGAAGAACACAGCTTTGAGTACCTGCAAACAATACCCCTTAGCAAGGCCACCCTCCTTTCACCCCTGCTGTCCTGTTCCTTCCTAGCTGGTTCCAACAACACACACAGTTGCCCACCTGGTATGCTCCATTGGCATCTATCCTGGCCCATCTGAGTGGGAGACTCCCTGGCTCCAGGCCTCAGAAAGGAAGTGGGGATGGAGAGTAATCTGGATGAGAAGCTGGAGTGACCAGTGTTTCCTCAGCAGGAAAAGGGCAGCCAGGTCCAGGATCCCAGGGTGGGGGTACAGCGGGGAGCAGGAGCCTGGGAGGTGAAAAGGGCAGGCAAAAGCCGACCAGATGTTCAGCGCCGCTCTGGAGCTGGGAGTCTCCTGTTCCTTCCAGTGAGCCTTTCTCTTTGCAGAAAATGATTCTATTTCATGAAAGATGGCAGTTTCCTTAAAGCAGCCATTAAAAACTCAAGGGTGTGTGTGCAGTTTCCTTTCCGAAGGCCTGTATTTAATGGAAATATAGGAAGCGACCTCATTTCCTAGAGCACTGACTCATGGTATGGAAGAAGTGACTGGAGTCTCTCCTGTCTTCTGAGCAAGTCGAGGGCACTTCGGGGGTTTTGCAGAAGCAAGAAGGTGGAAAACCTAGGAATCAGGAGACTCGGTTTTCTTTGTGGTTCTGCCATGCACAGGCTGTGTGACCCTGGCCAAGTCCCGCTCTCTCCAGGCCTTAGTTGCCTCCCCTGTAAGGGCCTTGTGGCCCCAGTGTGTTGTGTGAACCTTGCGGTGATTCTACTGGAGAGGAAGGTCCCAAGAACCAGTGGGAGGCAGAGCCGAAGCTGCTGAGTGGTGGTGGGGGTGGGGGATCAGTGAAGCAGGAACGTGAGAGCGCCCTAAGTCCTTACTTATCACATCAGACTCCAGGGGAGCCCCAAAGGGACTGAGGACAGCTCAACAATCAAACAACTGCATTTTCTTCTCTAAACATAGACGGTAACATTTACCAGGAACCATAAAGAAGGTTGACAATTACCATGGATAGCTTTTGCCTGGCCCTGAAAACTGGGCTAGAGAGCCAGGCATGGTTGAGTATGCCCGAATCTTAGGTGCTCATGACGCTGATGCAGGAGGATCAGAAGTTCAAGGATAGCCTGGGCTACATAGTGTGACCCTGTCTCTAAGCTAAATTAAGCTAAGCTAAGCTAAACTAGAGACTAGAGTGAATGAAAATGCCAAGAATTATTAGACTTCTTGCCTCTGATACAGCTCCTTGATGGCTGTGATGCCCAGACTGAGCCACAGCTGAGAGCTGATGAAGAGGGACAGAGTGTGAGGGAGAAAGACAAAGATTCATCGAAGGGCAGTGGAACCGAGGAGAAAGGAATTACAGCTCATGTGATCCTGGGTGACAGGAAGCAGGCTGCACTGTGGAAAGAGAATGGAAGGGAAGACCTCATTTCTAGTACTACTTTCTTCCTTTAGAAGCAAAGCAATCCTGAGCAAGTCACAAAGTATCAACTTGAGACAGGAGTGTTAATTATGGTTCTCTTTATTGGATATTCTTTTCCTTCATAGAGTGGCAGCACAGGGATTGTCTTAGTCCTTTTAATAGAAAAAGACAAAACAAAACAAAGAAACAATAATCACCACCAATGAGAAAACATTCCTAAGAGTGAAGCCAAGCAGATTCAAACCTAGCTCCTGCTGACTAGGCGTCTGGGAAAATCATTTCGGTGATGTTGCAAGCTGCCTCAGGAACTGAGAACAGTAGCCTTCATCCGGGTAAAGAGACGATTTGTAAATGCCTCACGTTCAGGTTTAATGTTAGAACCACTTGAATAAGAATAGAATCCTTAGGCAAACTGTGTTTATTCAGTCTTAAGCTAAATCTGCCAGTGCACATATGAAAACACAAATATTAAAGATGTTACAGGTATTTGGCAAAATGTAACTGTTCATCCAACCATTATCTGTAGTACCTATAAAGCTACCACATGCATATTGATTTGCATGAACTTGTTACAGTTCTTGGTATATTTGGTGGTTTTTTCCACCTGTTTTATTGTTGTTTTGAAGGGGTTCTCTGAGTCTGTGTGTTTTCTTATGAGATAGGGTCTTGCTATGTTACCCAAGCTGGCCTGGAACTTGGGCTGAAATGGTCCTCCTGTCTCAGCCCTCTGAGAAGTTGTCACTAAAAGTGACCACTGCAACCCAGTTTTGTGTCTATTAATGGTTTTTTTGTTTTGTTTTTGTATCGGGAATTGAGCTCAGGTCCTTGCTCTTGCCAAGCAGGCGCTTGTGCCGCTGAGCTATATCCCCGGCCCTATGTGTGTTAATGTTATGCAGGGTTCATCAACTTACAGCCCAGAAAACCCATGAATTAGAGGGAAAGTACATAAAATCTTTATTTTCATTACCTTCTAACTAAATTTAACACTTTACTCCCTTATGAATGTAGCATAAACCCAAAATTAATGATACCCATAATTTTATCCCTACCATGAGAAATCAACATTTTATATCAATTACAGTTGTTACTGATATCATGAAATACTGTTTATACTCAAAGCTTCTTTGAAACTGAGCTTTCTACTAGATTTTGTTTTAATCTGTTAATACAAAGCACATAGATATCCCACATTTTTAAAATTTGGATAATCAGAATTTAATATCGTGCATTTCCTTTTCAACCTTACCATTTTATACATTGCAAAATACCTTCCTGAGAAAGATTCCACAGGTTTTACCAGTAAGGTTTATGGTGAAGTGTGTGTGAAAGCATACACACACACACACACACACACAGGGTAGAAACTGTTCAGCAGGCCAGCGCTGATATTGGTACCTGAGAGGCAGGAGTACAATTGCAAAGTTTTCCTAAAGATACGTCCACATTTGTTTTCAAGCTAGGAGGGGCAAAGGAAGAATCCTGGCTTTCAGCAGCTTCTGTGGGGATGCCTGAAGCCTAGGAAGGACCTGCACTTATTTTCTGACTGGTAGTTCTCACAGTCCCTGCTGCAGGGACAGGACTAGGTCTTAGGCATGTCGTTGTCCCTGGCTCCTTGCACACTTCCGGGCACAGAGCAGTCTGCCAAGGGAATGGAAATATAAACTAGAAATCTTGTTTGTGTTCCTACGGGATGAGGTACGTGTGTATGTGTGTGTTGGCAAACATTTGTGTACAAGAGTAGAAATCTAGGGAGTATCATCGGGTCGGGGGTGCCTATGGTGGGCATTCTTAAAAAAAAAAAGAAACTCCAAGCAGACTTCTGGAAGATTACTTTCTAAGAGTCTAGCTGGCAGTGTGGGAGCAACCCCCCTGTGCACAGCTCCACCCAGCCTCACGTGGCCACCTCTTTCTCCCCCATGCAGGGCTGGCTCCCCAGTATACATAAACCTCCCTCGGGCTCAGGCAAGAGCCAGGAGGCCCACCCGTCCAGACACCCGTGGGGCAGCAGAGCTTTGCCGAGGAAGCCTCCCTCAGCCTCTGTACTGAGGCTCTTCCTTGTCCTTGCTCCAGCTGCAGGCCCAAGATGCCAGCTGTCCAGCTGCTGCTGCTGGCCTGCCTGGTGTGGGGAGCAGGGGCCAGGGCAGCCCAGCTCCGCAAGGCCAATGATCGGAGTGGCCGGTGCCAGTACACCTTCAGTGTGGCCAGCCCCAATGAATCCAGCTGCCCCGAGCAGGGCCAGGCCATGGCGGCCATCCAAGACCTACAGAGAGACAGCAGCACCCAGCATGCAGAGCTGGAGTCCACCAAAGCCCGGCTCAGCTCCCTGGAGAGCCTCCTCCACCGGCTGAACTTGGACCAGGTTGCTGGGCCCCAGGAGACCCAGGAAGGGCCACAGAGGCAGGTAGATGCCCTGAGGAGGGACCGGGACCGGCTGGAGACCCAAGCCAGGGAGCTGGAGGTGGCCTATAGCAACCTCCTTCGGGACAAATCAGCACTGGAGGAAGAGAAGAGGCGACTGGGGCAGGAGAACGAGGAGCTGGCCAGGAGGCTGGAAAGCAGCCTCCAGGAGGCGGCGAGGCTGAGACGGGGCCAGTGCCTCCAGGCCCGGGTCCCCTCTCAGGACATTCTGCCAGGCGCCAGGGAAGGTAAGAGTGTAGGGGGCGCGTGACGCGGTTCCTGGTGACCTGTTGTAGGTGCCCCGGCTTCCCTTCCTGCCTTCTCCTTTCTCCCAGAGATTACACGTCTAGCACAAGCTAGCTGAGTTGAGGAGGGCAAAGCAAACATGTTTATCTATTTCTAGTAATTTGGCTCAAAAAGCTAGGGTCGGTGAATGGTTCTAACTTGTTTTGCGTATCCATGGCAAGGTTCCTAGTCCTTAGCAAAACAGCAGAGGACCAGGGGGAATGTACCCGGCGTTTGGTCAGTAGAAAGTGGTCAGCTGCTCTTTTTGGAAAACTATCATGTTTTTGAATCTTATTTCTGCCTTTTGGTACTAACATGCCCTCTATTTATGAGATGATAATAGATCTATGAAAGGATAATAAATGATGGGGTTTTCTGTTTTTAATATCCTTTGGCAAAATAATGAGATAGTAACTCTGTTAGTTCTCTCAATGTTGTTTTAGAAGTTGTCTTTCTCCTTGTTCAATATGAGAACCTCGACCTTTAAGTTCTAAGACAGCTTTAATCGGGTGCTTTTCTGCTCATCCTGGCCCTCACCTGCTTGTGAGTGGGGGTTAAGGAAAGGGCACGCTCTTCTCATTAGCGGAGAAACAGTATGTGTGTCACTTCTTTGTGCAAGTTGTGCTCTCAAATATTCACTGTTTACTAAGTTTTCTAATCATGAAAAAACAAGCATGTCCAGTTGGGGTACAATTAGTCTAAATTCTTCAACATTATGAAAGAAAGAGGGGCTGGGGATTTAGCTCAGCGGCAAAAGCGCCTGCCTGCCAAGCGCAAGATCGTGAGTTCGGTTCCCGGTACCGGAGAAATACCAAAAAAAAAAAAAAAAAAAAAAATGAAGGAAGGAGATTAGAGATTAATTGGGTCAAAGAAGATTATGGTAAGGAAAGAGATATGGTAAGGAAAAGCAGTGTATAGTCCTTAAATCACTCCTGCATGGAGAGGGGGAAACTACAAGGGATTAGGTGAGGTAATTGATGACATTTGAGCACAGACTGTTTATTAGATTATGTTATTGTCTGCATGTTTCATTTTGGGGGGTGAAATAATAGGATTATTATGAAGAGGAATATCTTCCGGCCAGGGATATAGCTCAGTGGCACAAGTACCTGCCTGGCAAGCGCAAGGTCCTGAGTTCAATTCCCAGTACCAAAAAAATGAAGAATATCCTTTTTCTAAGAAGATTCATGCTCAAGTCCTTAAAGTTGAGGTGTTAGGGTATTTGCAGCTTGCTTTAGAATGATTCAGTAAAGGGCTGGGGATTTAGCTCAGTGGCAAAAGCGCCTGCCTGGCAAGCACAAGGTCGTGAGTTCGGTTCCCGGTACCGGAGAAAAAACCAAAAAAAAAAAAAAAAAAAAGAATGATTCAGTAAAGACTAAACAGAGAAAAGGAGAAGAGGCAAAACAAAGGTAGAAAAATAGTAACAATGGTGAATCTCAGTGAATGGTACACGGGGTGTTTACTTGGCAGTCTTTCCCTTTTACTGTAGGTTTGAAAACCACCAAAATAACATGATGGGAAAATACCCAACTCTGAAAAAAAAACACCCTTTCTACACAAAAGGTAAAATCTGCATAGGAGTAGGAGGCCACTCCTGGTTGTGGCATGCACAAGTTGTTTAACTCTCTGCATCTGCATTTCTTATTCACAGCAAAACAAAGAAAAGTTTTAAATAAGCAATAATTCTTGTGGGGTTCAAATCAAATATTATAATAATCCAACATGGCTAGAATTGGAAATGGTCCAATTCTGAGTTTTACAACTATGGAAAGTGACCTCCTAAGATGCTAAGGAATCCCAGGGTGCACAATCAGGCCAGTGACTTGAACTGGAGTCTGTGAGGATAAATGAAGAGTTATTGCTACTATTAGTTTTATGAAGCATTAACTATTTCAAACTGTTGGCTGCATAAAGTGACACACTCAACAAAAAACTCTGTGTGGATATGTGGAGTGTGTATGTATACAAAAATAGAGGCAATGTTTTAAAATTGTCTTGTGGTCATTTAGCACATCTTTGGGGATTCATTAGATGGGTTGTCTAATTTTGTATTTCTCTGTGTCCCTTCTGGCTGCTCTACTTTGGAAGCAGGGAAATATCTCATTATAACGAATTACAAACTTGGAAGTTCTTTTTAGTAGCAGATCATCTTCAAGCAGGAAATTACATTAGAACGAGAATGCAGGACTGGAAAGAGACCTATCAGCATCCAGTGCCACCAGCTCACTTTTGCAAGTGTCAAAAATGAGGCCCAGAGGTTATGCAAGTAGTCTACAGCCACCTAGCCACTTAGTGACAGTCCTAGAACTAGCATTCTGCCCTCTCCCCCTAAGGATCAGTGACCTGCAGGGCCCCTCGCTGACCTCTAGTTTATAAACCCTAAAAGACAGAAAAGTACAGAAATGCTTGGAACAAAAGATCTGTTTCACCATCCTAGATTTGGGGACATATTTTGAGGGGCTGGAATTTAAGTGTGGACAGGAGTGCCAAATCCTGAATGCTGAGGTTTGTGTGGCTTAGATAAAGATAAGGCCAAGAAGGTGGGATTTTCCTGACCCCACCCATTGTTCAAATTGTCACCAGCATTTTCTTTATTATTGATACAGCAAGCTAGTTCAATGAGACAGGCACTCACAAGAAAACCAAAAAGGCAGGAATGAACAAAGTTTTACTGAGCCGGCTGACGGACAGTCTCTAACCAGGAACCAGAGAGATGTCTGCATCCATCTGGGTCTCACCTTCGTTTTAACCATTACCTCATTTTTGGGAATCTTACAAGAATGTCACACAATTATCACAAAGTTTACCTCTCCCAGAAGCTGTCAGACAGCCAGATTCCAGATGACCATTGCAGTTTAACTTTTAGCCTACTTTCCAATTTGTCCTGTTTGTTCTGTTCCCATTTTATGACTCTGCTCTCCTTTAAGTGAGTTGATGACTAACCAAAGGGAGAGGGTGAAGAGTGGGGTCAACTACAGCTTAAGTGAATTTAAGTGATTTCTCTTAATATGGAGTTAAAAAAGAAAATGGAGTCTCTCTTGCCCTGTCATTATGTAGTTGTCACATTGAAAAAAAAAATCTCCCTTGAATTAGGGAAATCATTTGTTGGTACATACATATATGACAGGAAACATCACACACACACACACACACACACACACACACACACACACACACACACAAATGCAAGCCCAAAATAGGAGAAAAATTCAACTTAGCCTTAAGATAAATTACAGCTGTTATTACCGTCCTGAGAAAAATCCCACATCTTCCCCTGCTCATCCTCTCCCCTAGGTGGGTCCCCTAGGAGCTGTGCCTGGGGTGAGGGCTTGTGTGAAGTGGTTTCAATGGGCCAAGATCCCTAAGAGGAAAAACAGGGGATAAGAGGCTGGGGATATAGCTCAGTGGTATAGCATCTGCCTGGTAAGTGCAAGGTCCTGAGTTCGATTCCCGGCACCAAAAAAAGAAAAGAAAAGAGAAAAGAAAAACAAGGGATGAGGAAGAGTTATTAAAAGAAGGAATTAAAAAGGGACCTTCTTAATTTGGTCATCATCATGGGCAATAAAGCACAATGCCGCCCATCAGAAGGCTGCCTAGAATGTGCAGAAGAGGGGAGCTTTATTCCTGGATGTACTAAGGGCTATCGGTCCCTTGGGGCATATTGCTCATCCATGTACATGGCTGTGGGTGCCGGGCTAGTTCTTGCAGACTTCCTGTGCAGTCAGAGAAGCTGGGGCAGGTAGCAAGCACCACCTGGGAAAATGTGGACAGGATGGGGTGACCAGAGGTGTCTGACACAAGGCTGCAGATTTCCTGCCCTCCCCCTATAGGGTTGGATGATGAGCCCTCTGGATTATTCTGCAGACCAGCCCAGTGCCTGGTGGAGTGGCCACCCAACAAATGGAATACAACTACACAGGGCTTCTTTTGCTTGAGTCCCATCATTTTAAAATGTCCATGATCAAAATGTCAAAATATATATAATATTTCTACAACGCACATTGATCCTGTGGGTGGTGCTTGTCAGAACAGCACCCAGGACAAGAGTCTATTAGTCAGTCTTCACCCTCTTAAAGCATTTGTGATATCTGTAAACCCAGTGACAGTCTTCTCTTTCTTTAGTCTCATCATTTAAATAAGAATGAGCTTTTCAAGGCATGATAGCAAATACTTGCAAAAATCATTAAAATGCCATTTGCATATGGATGCAGATGAGTTCCTAAGTTCTGTTTCTATGTCAAGCTCTCTAGATCTACCATATGAGTCCAGCAGAGGTTAGGGCAAAGCGTGCAGAAAACTTCTAAAAGTTTTAACAGATATCAAAGGACTACTGAATTTTAATAACAAAACAAAGCCAAGCATAGTAACCTAGGCCTGTGATCCCAGCTATTCAGGAGGCAGAGGCAGGAGAATGGCAAGTTTGATGCAGGCCTGGGCAGCTTCGTGAGACCCTGTCCAAAAATAAAAATAATTTACGAACCTCTAGGGGAATAACTCAGCACTCCCTGGGTTTAATCCCCAGTACTCGTCCAAAAAAGTCCTAAAATCTTTAACTATCTGGTACAATAGTTAATATTTTCCTAATCTTTTTTTGTTTTTTCTCCACATTCAGAATGAAATGTTAGATTTTGAAACATTCCAGAGGATTTTGAGCTTTGACATATCTCTATTGAGGACCATATTACTTGTAGTTTAAGTAATTTTCAGGAAAACCTGATAATATTTATGCAACTCAAAATAATAGGGCTCAGAGAGGTTGGACCATTTACCCGAAGTCCCACATCCCAGACATAGCAGGACCGAAGTAGGAAGCTACACCTTCTGGCTCAGTCCAGGGCCCGCACACAAATGCATCCCTGCTTTCAGTCCTCACGCCAGATGGCTCTGCTTCGGGAGTCTGCGTGTTGCCAGGTGCTCCTGGCTGACCGGACCAAGAAGCAGCCAGTAGGTTCCTAATCCAGCCATCCCACTTGCCAGCTGGGAGCTGGCCCTGCAGTCATTCACTAAGTCTTTCCCTGACATTATGTTTTACTGTGGTTCTTGTTTACTCCAAGGAACACGTGTGGGGTGTGGTCCTGGCAAAGAGCAAGGAAAGAGGGAGGGAGAGCTGAAGGGTTTCCTACTCTGAGTCTTGGGGGCCATGGTGTCATCAGGGCAGGAACTCCACCCTGGCCAGGCATCTGTACCACTCTTCTCTGGCAGTGGAGATGGAAGAGCCGACGGGATGATTGGACGCTGGGTGTGGAGCTGGGAAATTTGTTTATTGGGCAACTCACTGGGATCTGACCTGAGCACTGGTAACGGGTCCCTCCCCAGAGTCCTGAACAACTGCCCAGTCTCCGGGAGCAGTCTAGGCCCAGTGAGGCAGGGAAACACACAGGGAGGTTTTGTATAAAGACTTATCGACTCTGATGAACAAAACTGTAAGCTATAAGTAAACTTCCTGCGGTTCCCTTGGGCTAAAGCAGGTGTGTTGGGGGGTAAACTTCAGGGTGGGGTCAGAGCTCACTGGGGAAGACGGAGTTTGGCTGGCCAGAGAGCAGAGATGGGGGCAGGTCTGCAGCTGCAACAGGAACCCTCCCAGTAGAGAGGCACCCTATGGCCTGGGGTTCAGGCAGAGTGGAAGCGAGTGAGCAGAAAGGCAGGGAGTCTGGTTTCCTTGTTGAAGGGCTCTGGCAAGTTTGTGGCCAAGATGAGGTTGCCAAGTCACAGAGGAAACATGTTCGGGGTCAGTGGCTGGGTCAGGGCTCTGCTGGATGTGCTCACACACACAGAGATGACCAGACCAGGCCAGGGAAACAGATTTCCCTTCTTCCATGGTGTCCCTCTGGGCCTCCCTATTGCGAGAGTTCAACAGTGGCCTCACTTTAAAGGAGAAATAGACCTTGTTTTTCAGAGAGCTTATGTGGACGTGATCAGCTCTGGGAGGCAATAAAGACGTCTGTAGTGGACACAGCTTCCCACCACAGGTAGTAGTAATGGACTTGCAAAACATGGGCTCAGGTTCCAGCCCCATCACTTGCTGGCTGTGTGGTTTTGTTTGGATCCAAAGTGGCTCCCAAAAGGCTCATGAGTTCAGAGGTGAGGCTTCTGGAAGGTGATTGAACCATGGTGGCTGTAACTTCACCAGTAAATTAATCCATTGATGGGTTCATGATTAGACGGTATCATAGAAAGTGACAGAAACTCAGAAGGTGAGGCTCAGTAAAGGAGTAGGTCATGGGGCTGTGATCTTGGGCACTGTACCTTATCCCTGGCCTTTCCCTCTCCCGCTCTCCCCTTCCTGGCTGCTCTGAGGGGAGCAGCTTCATTCCTCCTCATCTCATGCTCCTCCACTCTGATGTTCTGCCCACCACAGACCCAGAGACAAAGGTGCTGGCAGCCATGAACTGAACCTCTGAAACTGTGAGCAAAATAAACCTTTTCTCCTCTAATTTGTTTTTCTTAGGTACTTTGTCACAGCAACAAAAAATCTCACACACCGTGTGGCCTTGGGCCCGTCATTAGCCCTTCTGAACTCCGCTCCCCTTCAAACATGTGGATAACAGGGTTCACCTGCAAAACTTATGTGAAAGACAGGTCATGAATAGCCAACAGCAAACACAGCACCAGGGTCACAGCAGACACTTAGTAAGTAGTGACAACAGCTAAACTTCATTAGGTAGTTAGCGGTCCTTACTTTATTTCTTTAAAACTTCAAAGGCACCAGATCACATAATTTATATAAAAATTCTTTCAAATATCAAAGGAACGATCCATGTCTGTGGATCACTTTTCATTCTCTCTCTCTTCCTCTCTCTCTGCTGTTTTTCATTGCTAAGTATTTTAGCTATCTCTAAAGAAGTCTTCAGAGTAAATACCTAGCTTTTTGATTATTAGTTTCTTTCCACTTCCTTCATTCCCTCTGTGGCTAAAGAAGGCATTTCTTAATTTTCTTTTCATTGTGCATCCTTACTTTTGTTTGGTTTTTCTCTGGTACTGGGAACTGAACTCACGACCTTGCGCTTGCCAGACAGGCGCTTTGCCGCTGAGCTAAATCCCCAGCCCCTTTACTTTTGTTAATGGACATGTTTTTCTCAGTAAGTCACCAAATCACATAATCATCCTAGCTTCAATCACTGAATAAAATAGCTTGTGCAGGTGCATAGAGGAAGGAGGTGTGAGGTGCAGGGGTGGGGTGGCTCACAATTTCCCGCACCTGGCCACTGAGGCCCAAGGCTGAAGGCCAGAAGCCAGAAGGGGCGGGTTTCAGGCTTTTTGACAGCACCACCCCAGTACTTCTCTCATGGCATATGGCCTGTGTCCGGCTTCTGGATGCAGAGAGGCAGTGGAAACAATGAATGGAAGAGTACTGAGCTGTCCTCCTTGTTTGCAATGGTCCAAGAAAAGGCACAAATGAAAGAAAAATGACCAGACCCAGAAAACCTGTTCAAGGACCTGATTTTGAGAAACGGCCCTATGTGGACATCAAAATCACTCAGAGTCCATAGTTCACAACTGGGTCCACTCTTGGTGTTGTACATTCTGTTGGTTTGCACAAACATACAATAAGTACCTACTATTAGCGTGTCACACAGAGTCATTGCATTGCCCTGTAAATCCTCTGTGCTCCATACATTTCCCAGGTAACAACTGATCTTTCTACCTTCTCCACAGTTTTGTCTCAAACTACGTGTGTGTGGTGCTGGGAGGCCTTGAACCTAGGGCCTCTGCATGCTAGGCTACCACTTTGCTGCTGAGGTACAGCCTCATCCATCAAACTATGTGTGCAGTGGCAATTTCCTCCTGATCTCTGGGCCTCATTCTACCTGAACAGTAATCGAACCTACATTTAAAAGCCAATCCTATTCCTTGTGGCCATTGCTTCAGCCTTAGATGTAAGAACTGCTGTAAGATCAGAATCCTAAGCAAAATAGGAGTGTGTGACACACTGGCATGACTTGAGGTCTAACAGCATCACACATACGTCTTTCCTTTTGCACTACTCAGACCTTTCCCAAATCCCCATGGGAACCCTGCACACACACTCTCTTCCTTAAGGAAAATGGGCCTAGAAATGAATCTGACAGAACATTTCCATATTAATGTAATACTTAATATGTTACTAACAATGTATTTCAAAATACCTAGAAAGGATTTTGAATGTTCCAAACAGAAAGAAATATAAATGTCCAAGGTGATAGATACACCAGTTTTTTTTTTTTTTTTTTTGGCTTTTTGTGACAGGGTCTCATTAAGTAGTCCAGGATGGCCTCAAACTTATGATCCACTTGCCTTAGTCTCCCAAATGCTGAGATTACAGGAGCATGCTTGTTACACCCTGAGCTGGTTATTACACATTCTATATGTGTATTGAAAAGTCACACTGTATCCCATCAATATATACAGCTATTATGTGTCAATTAAAAATAAGAATATATGTTGAAAACAAAAAAGCTTAATATGTTACTTCTTATAAGATATTTGCTATGACAAAGAAACACCCTTAAGTCAAATAGCACATTGTTAATTGTTGAAATTCAGACATGTGAAAAAATGCTAAGAACTGTTTTAATACACCTGAAATCACACCCTGCCTACTCTTAAATCAGCCCTTCTAGTGTAAATTATTTTAACTGTGTAAAGTCCTATTTTGTTTTGAATATCCAACTCTGTGCTAAACACATTGATATTCAGTTTATTTTTTGTGAGGTCCTAAATTATGGAATTTTTCAAATAGTCACAAAATTGGAAAAGAACGAACGCCAGTGTAGCCAGCACCCCAGCAGTAGTTGTATCACACTTATCTTCCCTTGCCTGATACCCTACACCAGCCTCCATCACTATCTTAAAGCAAATAATCAAAAGTCATATTTGGGGAGCCTATATAAATGCTACCCTCTACAGGGCCATTTCTTTTCACAATACAATTTTGTCTCCATTTCATATAGTTTCTCAGTGGAATCTGGACAGTTTGGCCTTCCAAGAATTGAAGTCAGAGTTGACTGAAGTTCCTGCTTCCGGAATCTTGAAGGAGAGCCCGTCTGACCGTCCCAGGACTGAGGAGGGAAACAATGGTATGAAGTTAGATTTCCTCCCTCTTGAGTCCGCTCTGTCTTTGTTTGGTGTATTTAGTTCTGTGTCCTGAGTTGAGATAGCTTAAACAGGGTGGAGCTGGGAGAACATCACTCGGAGTAGAGGCTGGGAAAGGTGAGGAAGAGAACTCCTGTCTGTACTTTTGTCAGGGCAGGCGTGTGGGAAGTCAGCCTTCACTGAGCTAACTGCAGCTGACAAATCAGTTTTTTCATGTCTTCACCTTAGGGCCAGATACAGAGCACACACTCTCTCAGCATGGCCTCTTGTTAACAGTATTTTATTGCAATCCCAGCAGTGTGGGTGTGGGGTTTGGGGGCAGAGGCAAGTTCGAGCCCAGCCTGGGCAACTTAGTGAGCCCTGCCTCAGAATTAAAATAGGACTGGGGATGTAGCTCAGTGTGAGGGTCTTGGTGTTAATACCCAGTACTGAAAAAAGAAGAAAACAAAAACTCTGGTTTCCAGAAACGGTGATGTCCATGTTATTGACGATGACTGCTCACACTGGTGGGCATGCCTGGGATGACGGTTATGAAATATTTAAAGTACAATTCTCTGAGACATGAGTCTACCTTCTATGGGGTAGGAAACAGAGTCTACCTTCTATGAGGAAATTGAAAGCACCGCTTAAAATGGAGATTTACTTTGATTCGGCTATATTCAAATTTTCAACCACCACTTCACCATATTTAAAAAATTATATTCAGGTTGTATTGTATTACAATGAAGTATAAACTGGGACCTATCCCTCTGAGCTTTAAAAATAGTTATATAAAGATTATCCTTATAATGATCTGATTTTGTCTATCTTTTAAATAACAAAATAAAGAAGTCTTGAAAGTCAGAGAGAGTGTGATTGGAAATAGTATATATATTTAGATA